GAGGCTCGTCTAATAGCCTCTGACCAATCTTTATAAATAAATAAAAGAATTTTGCTGTTATGAGCTTCTTTGATCATCAATTGAATCAACTCAAGCTTTTCAATCATCTTAAATTGTCCCAACAACTTGGAACCTTGTTGAACATTCTTGCGTAACATATGTGCATGAAACCATGACTTATTTCAAAATCTAATCAAAAAACCTTTTATAGATATATGTTAAAAGTGCATTTTTTTATGGAAGTCTAGTTCCCATCTTGTATAAAAGATTTTTGTGTGTGTGGAAGATTTACACACATACCACTAAACTCGTGCATATTTACATATCTCACCCTTAAACTTCAATTTTTACATACATGCTACACTATTTAAGCATACAAGTTTGCATTTAACTTTTTAAAGCTAAAATGTTGGTATTTTTTGTGTGATATGAAAGTTCTGGGCGGTATTAAGGTAAAAAAAAGTAAAGTTTACGGGTGAGATATGTAAATATATAGGAATTGAGTGATATATCTGTAAATGAACTTTTTTTCCTCTTTTGTCAAAATGTCTATTCAGGAATTACATGATGCACACCACGTTTATGCCCCTGTGATCATAAGAGCTGTTCAATTAGTTGTGTTTCGATTTGGTACATGCCAATGCCAATACAAATAATATATTAATATACATAAGAAGTGACTGAGTTCCAATCACTCGGTCTTGGCCGTTCGAACTTGATCACCCGACTTCGATTACTCGACCCTGGTCACTCGGCTTAGCGCATTTCATTTTTCTGACTTGTAATTACCATCTCACAACCTCGTCTATTGTTTATGCCTATCTAGGATGGCTTCGATTGGCTGATAAATTATGAGCCGTCTAATTCTCAATAATCTAAATCGTCTCATATATAATGATCATGACAGCACCGTAATATGAAAAAAAAAAATATTTTTATATGAGTGATTTATGTACATGATGTTTAACTCTTTTATTTTATCTCCCATTTTATAAAATTTTATATATTAATTATTAAACAACATAAAAAATAGCATGCATATTTATCTCACTTTCATATTATATTGAATATTTCAAATATTGGACAGCTAAAGTGGTCTACAAATAAATGGAATATTTACACACATACCACATAATTGTTGTGTATTTACATATCTATCTAAATTTCAATATATATATATATATATA